TTCGATGTTGGAGCTCTTTCTGTTCGAAAGTACTGAGTCTCCAGGTAGCTATCCATGGGTGACTCCACACTAGAAGTTTCGCAGCTGTTTGGAGGTGACATGAATTCCAAAGGTCTTCTCCAGTCAGGCTGCGACTGGAGATGACTTCATATTTTGGTGTACATGAAGGTGATGGGCGAGAGCCAGCTCCTGCTTATAGAGGAACATCTTGGGTATCTTCCGCCCTGGTACTCGTATCCACGTCCTCTGTCTGGGCAGCGAAAACTTTGCTGATATGTGACTCGGTCGAAGTGACTTTTTTTGCCCCCCCCCCTGTATCACATCAAGATCTCCTCTTGTATGTTATAGGAAAGGGGGAACTTTTGTGAGTAAACCTTTATTTCCGAATCAGTCAGAAGTTGTGTCCAATAAGCTACCTGGCTCAGTAAGAGATGAAGTTTCTCTAGAAAGACTTTAATAATTTTTCCCGGCATTGAGAGTCCTTTGGTGGTCAAAGTAAACGCTTATGTGCTTGCTCATGTAATAATTCAAAACAGAATCGTTGCAGCTAGCCTACGACGGCACAGCCGGAGCGGTAGACAGAACTGTTCAGGCCATTAAGCAGCTTGTTATCTTTACCAGCAGAAATGTTCTCAACTCCGTCTGTTTGGCTCCTTTCGGCCAACCCTGTATGATATTTTAGCAGGACACATTCCAGGAGACGCATGCCTGCTCTAAAATCCTTTTGAATCATTCGCATTGATAATCATATTTGTAAAATTTCAATTCCGGATTGGGGGAGGCACACTTGTCACAAAAGCGCCAGTGACCGAAAATTCTCCACCGCTTTCCTCTGTGCATAAAGGCTAGTGATGCCCGATTCTGAAGAAACCTCAACAATATTTTTCAAGAATTGCTCCTCACAATTTCTTTGTCACGAGCGCTGTGGGAACTCTATTTTGTGTCTCTCGAAGAACAAAATCACTCGAAAAAGGATCGAAAGAACTTTTATCAAGGGAAACTACATAAGTACTGCTTAAGCTACAGTGGAGCAGAGAATGCTTAATATCCTGGAGCAGTGCGAGGAGGTGGGCAGTGGTCGCAGCTTCCCTGGGATCCGGGGCCTCCGGATTCTCCATCATTTCCGTCGCCTTCCAGGATTTCCAGGGCGACCAGGCTGTCCATTATCTCCTGGCTGTCCTGGTCCACCATTTTGTCCTGGGTTTCCGGGTGCTCCTGGCTGACCGTCGGGTCCAGGAGGTCCTGGAGGTCCAGCTGGTCCAGGTGGTCCTTGTGAGCCGGGAACTGTGGTGAGTTGTCCTGGAGGCTCCTGGAGAACCAGGGTTTCCAGGCTGGCCGGCGTTTCCAGGTGGTCCTGGTGGTCCTGGGGGTCCCTTGCCTCCTGGGTTTCCAGCTGGTCCTGGAGGACCAGCAGGGCAGTTGAAGCATGGAGCGGGAGGGTTGGGAGGTGGTGTTGCTGGTGGTCCATCGGGTCCATCTCTACCAGGCTGGCCAGGCTGACCATCTGATCCAGGTTGTCCATCTTGTCCAGGTGGTCCGGGTGGTCCAGCAGGAGAAACTCCACATCCGCAGCATCCACCACCAGCCTGACGGGCTTTCCTTGTGGAACCAGCGAGGACCTAAATCTTAGGAATTAGTGGTGACCGTGAGAGTGAAGCGAAAAATGGAGAAAATGTGAAAACTCACCTGAGTACGGGTGACTTCTCTCCAGATATTTCCAGAGCGGGATTTGCAGAAGTCGACCTCGTTCTGCATGACCGACTGCATGTGCTGCATGTAGTTGTAGAGCATGGGGACCGAGATCACACAGACGAGGGTGGCCACGGTGGAAAGGGCCACGCCAAAGAAGGCGACTCTCCTGAGAGAGAGTGCCTCAGATTCCCAGTGCTTCTCGTCGCCGGTCATGCTTGCGATTCCACAGGGTACCATTGCTTTTATACGTTTTTTATCACGCCCATACTGATTAGCATTACAGCATTATCGGCTTAAAGTGTTCGGTTTTCTCCGCTGACTATTGTGAAGGTCATTAGCGAGAAAGTAACTGTTAGATTAATCGCAGTGAGGCCAGAAATGCAAAAGGCTGACTTGATGGGAGCGGTTCTCTTCTGATCGGAGGACACAAGCAAATTACGCAAATAATGCATCTTGTTGGCACTACATAAGTTGTATGCAGCCACTGAGCAAGTTCACGTCACAATGTCACTAGCTGGCCTTCCCAAATGTCTTTTTCTCGTAAACTTTTGCAGTGCATACTTCAAGGTCTGACGGAAATACAAGAAGGTTCTCAGTTCACGAACAGCGGCCGCAACGGCCTTGCACCTTACTTTTTACAACAGAGATTAAAAAATCGATCTTTGTCTCAGTTACTGAGGATTATCATCTCTGATGCACGTCTATCGACATTAGGCGAGTTTCTGTGATTGAAGTCTGTTTTTTACAACAATAGTCCCTAAGAGGACATGTATTTCCATACCATATTTCGTCACGAGCTAGGGCTGTCGATACTGACTTGCCATGAAGAGCAGGTTTCTCCTCAGACCTCATGCAGCCATTATGACTCCTATCCTCTATAGTATCTTCTTTTTATTAGCATCAGTTCTGAATCGAACGGCATTCCTTGCATTCTGAATGAAGAAGGTCATTATAACGTTTGCGGTTTGTCATTGCTACTGCCTCAGTCATCCAGATCCGCTTGGCCCGAAACCTCCTGGCGTCTGCGCCTTAAGCGCCGGCGCCAAGAAACCTAGATCACCGAATTCGTTGAAAACTTGTTCCCAGGGGTAGTTTGATTCTCCGTACACAGATATTACATCCGTATGCTCTGGAACTGCCTGGCACCCACGCTACAGGCGCAGGCACCAAAAACCCGGAATTACCAAATGTGATGAAAAGTTGTTCCCATAGGTAATTCGGCTTATTGAGCACGAATCCCACATCTGTATGAGGCGTTGAGAACGTTTATGATGAAATAAGGGGATACACGTAATAGCGCAACTCGCTTCTGCTCGTCTGCACCCTTTCCCGAGATAGTTGTCCCTTCCTTTGCTAAGGCTGGTCCTTAATAAAGGGAAGGATCACTATCACCGGCAACCAAAAAGAGTGCTGCTTTTCTTCATAGTATGATAATCGTGTTCAAAAGGTCAGAACCGCAGTTGGCAAGTTCTCGGTGATTTTAAGTATTTCGACACCGGCGCCTGTGTCGCAGGCGCTGAAAGGTTTCGGGCCAAGCGGATGTGTTATTCGTGCTTAGTAGGTCGACCTATCAAAGGAGGCGATAAGGAACTGAGACTGCCCGCAGAGAAAAAGTCAGTCACAAGCCGGCTAGATTCCTGATTACTGGGGCAGGGAAAGGTACATCTGTACTGCTAATGAGACTGTGAGTAGTGGCAAAGCGACACTCTAAAGCAAACGGGTAAAATTTCGTGGATGGATTGGATCACGCCTAGACTTGCCAGACTTTTCGGTCAAAAAGGGTTGAAGGCACAATATGCGTCTCGGAGTGTGGAAACACATGTGTGTCGATCAGATGGCCACATCAGACGGCCTGTATTCATGTAGGCTGGAGAATGCATTCGAAATGCAACTGAAGGTTTTGAGATCAAACAGAAGTAGATATGCGTCGAGCTTCTCGGAAAAGGTGGTGAGCAGGATGGGGGAAGGGCTGCTAAAAATGGAGTAAAAGGCACCGTCCTCTGTATTTTCCTTTCACAAGCTTTTACAGCCTTTCGCTGATGAAAGACCACTTGCAGAAAAAAGTTCTTCACGATTCACTTCATGCTCTACGAACTTCAAATTATACCTATCTCGCACCCGCAAAGATCAGTTTCTCGAGTTCACTCATTCCTTGTGTAGGGATCTATATACTCACGTTGGTGACTGTACAGCTTAGTTCGGGAATCAGGTATATTTTTTTGCGCCTAGAGTATAGACTTCATAAATTGCAGAAATGATTAGTATGACATATATTCAAGGTCATCTGCAGGCTCCTTGGTTTCAGTACTACTTAAGGAATATAGCCTTCGACAGGTTGGTACTAGCGGTAAAGTTTTCGAGGTTCTCTTATGCAGTTAAAAAACTTTGACCTTGTCTGCGGAGGGGCGCGGCTGGCAGAGGTGATAAGTGAAAGAATAGCCTTCACATCAATCACTGACTCTACCGAGAGTCACATAGTAGAATGATGTGAGCTCAGTAAAAAGTCAGTCATAAGAGTTAAAGTTCATGAGAATTTATTTAAAAATTCTCCCGACCGAAGACACTTGGCTGATCAAAAAGCTCATGTAAGAAGAGGAGATACGGCTGATTCACTCAGCAAAGATGAGCAATTTTAAAAAGATTCCCCGATTTGGTACTATATGTTGTGGGGGTCACAGCCTCACTGTACGCGTTCTCCGGACTTGCAGGCGAATCAAGACAGTGACATCTTGACCATCTGTGCATGGCCCTGTTACGACACCAGTTGTTGCACTCAGGGCACGCCATCGTTGTGATGATCACAACGGGGGAGGGGTATTTGGTCAGAGAAACTTTCGTTGGTAGTTGATTTCTCTTGTTTCACGGACGGTGTAAAGGGAGGGGGGCTCTGTTGAGAGAGGGAATGCCAAAAATCTATACAACTACTATTTCGATAGTTGGGAATTATAGTGAAATCCCCACGACCCCCCCCCCCGCCCCTCGCGCAGCAATTTTGGGAAAAAACCAGAAGGAAATTCGGAAAAACTGGTAGGAGGTTAGGGAAAATCTGAGAAATTTTCCTGCTTCACACTGGATATATACCTCCCCCCCCCCCGCTTTACAGAGAAGTCTTGGTTGAAAAAAAGTGGAGTTTTTTTTCAAAAAAAATGGAAAAATTGTAGGATGTTGGGAAAATCAGGAAAAAGGGTAGGTAGCATAGGAAGGGGGGGGGTCGCATTTGAGGATAGAATTAGGGGGTCGTATTTTTCAGGAAATGATCACAAGGCACCTGCCAAAGCATTGAAAGGTGGTAGAATCATGTGGCGAGCCAGAATATGGGCTTTTTCAACGGGAGGTGTATACTAACTCGTAAAAGTATACTAACTCGCAAATGGTATAGTACCGCTGCCCTATCCCTTTTGCTTTCCTGCCATTCCTCTATATGTCTCCACATTTTTGAATGGGATGACCTAATGTAAAGAGGAATTTTGAGTACTAGAAAGGAGAGATAAATAAGGTCGTACACCATCGCTAGAATTCTCCTAAATGTAGAGTCATTGTGCCTCTAACTTCAAACCATGTACCACACCATCTGACATGGAGGTAACTAAGGTATAAACTTGCAGCAATGATTTTTTTCTTCGGAAGGAGGAATATGCTTTTGCTCGGCTTCCGTCTAAGGGCACGTGCGAAACGGAAGCTGAGCTATCTCTTGCTTTCGACCCCCCTCAATAATTCTCATTTATTAGATTTTACAACATAGTCCATTAATCTCAGTTTCAAAGATTTTATAAGAAATCAAGTGATTGTAGCCCACGCTATTCATAGACCAGTACCCTCTGCGTCTCCAGCCTTGAGACTTGCACAAAGATGCTAGATGGGGCAGAGCTGACGCTTAAAGAAATTCAGTGATCGTAGCTTCACGTAAGGGAAAACCAAATGAATGTGGTACTCCCTACCCTATGCATAGCAATGCATAAATTGGCACCCTCTACGTCTCTAACTTGGCAGCTAGAGAAATACCAGTAACGTGGCCAACTCAACCCAAAGCTGGGAGGGTCCTGCTGTGAAAGGCAAATGCGCAGGGAAATAACTGTGGCTTCCAAAGCATCGAAAGGTGCAAAAAAACATGTCGCAAGCCAGGAAATCATGTTTTTTGCTAAGGAGGGGACGCCGAGGTGGATGAGCCACTTATTATGCGTGAAAAGCTGAAAGGAGAATGGTCGCAAAAGGAAATGCAGAAATAAAATCGCTGAGAAAAACAGAAAGTTGATGCCACCAGAAGAAATGAGTTCGACCGGTCGTAGACCAGAAAAGATCCATATATGAAGAAATCAGATTGACTGCAGGTCATCCTATGCTATGTTCGTGGCGAACCGCTGCTGCTGTTCTGCGAAGTAATGAGGGCTCGCTCTACTAACCTTGAAACAAAGCATCTGAACGCAGCTTGTTGTGCAAACAGACGAGATGACAAAAATCAAGCTGGAGTTATAAACAACTCAATGAATCTTAACAAACCAGAGCGTAACAGTTCAATTTCTCCCACTTTGATAATCTCACGCATAATCATTGCATTTGTATGGGGGCGTCTTCCAACGCAATATACAGCAAACATCAACAGTACAAAAACACCAGGCTTGAGCGCCACCTGCACCTACGCAACTGAAGCGCGTGCTTCGTGCCTTCCACGTGTTTCTGAATATTTATTTATTCAATTATATTTCTATATATAATAAATTGGTCTCACCACAAAAGAAGGTGAAGGTCAAAGGGTTGCAAAAGGCAAAAAAGCTGTTCTCTCTAAGGTATGAGAAAAGCTCTTCTCTCTAAGGTATGAGAAGTAAAATTTCGGTATTGATACAAGGTTACTAGAAATTAAAAAGAATCATCATGAAAGGAAAGGTTCTGGTGCGACGTTTTTCTCAGAACAACAACAACAATACTTTCTCAGAACAAAAGGAATACTCTGGCTTTGACATGAAGCTCAGCAGTTTTGCATAAGAATGATAGCAATCTACCCAGAATTTGGGTACACCGCATTTGGGACAAGGTTTCATTCATAAGAAGTGTAAAAGCTCGTAGCAGAGAAGAAGAACTTTTCTTGGCAACAGAATTAGGTACATATTTTAGTCAGCGGTAGGGCTGACGATGTTCCGTAGCTATCAGAGTTGAAAGGGAGTGCGGAAGGTGAGAGGAGTGGATCGCAGTGGACTGCTCACAAAAGCCTTACTGAG